TCCGAACAAACTGTCTGAGCTTTATACTCGATTATGAACCAAAATTGCCCTGAAATCTGGATGTTGCCCAGGCCAGTCCTTTAAAATATTTCAGTCTTTTTTTCCAAGATGCGATGTATAACAGAATCGCTACAGAAAAAACGCTTATGCGGAGCTCTGCGCACGAGAAAATAGCCAAGATGACAAATACTGGACACACACTGACGGGGAAGAGTTTTTTTTATAATATTATATAATATAAGCTAAATTAGTTGAATAAGCTAAATGAGTTGAATAAATAAAATAAGTTGAATAAGCTAAATTAGTTGAATAAGCTAAATGAGTTGAATAAGTTAAATGGAAAAAAAATGAATTGGGTGCACACAGGTGTACAACAGGTAAAAACAGGTGTACACTTGGCTATACTGTATCTGGTGATATGAAATCTGTTTAAATACTTTGACAAAGTATATTTTTTAATTTTTTTATGAATATAGTACTCAGAACATGCAGATATCAGATGCTGAATGTAGTTTTTTTTTTTTCGAGCTTGCACCTGACCAGGTTAACTCTCATTTTCAGTGAGCTGTTATACACCTATAAATGAATAGTTCAGAGTCTAAGGTTTCCAGAGATACCAAATATGTCTGTGTTACAATTAAGTTCATGAGTGTAAAAAACATTTATAATCACTCGTGGAAGTCTGTTTTCTTTTATGCAATTATGCTCTATGGGTAGCCCTAGTAACATATGTATGGGTTGTTCCTAGTAGGCGTCCAGGGGGGAAAGAGTTAAAAGCTTTCTATGGACATAATGAAGAATTAAAATGTGTGCTATGTGCAGTTTGTTAAATGTAATTTTAATGTCCACATCATTATCAATTATTTATTCGCCCAAAGGTAAGAACTACAAAGTCTGTAGTGTCACCACGGTATTGTACTGAGCTCTCAAATTCCAACAACAACTTCTATTTTTAACAAAACATATTTCTAATTCAAAACTAAATTTGAAGTCACAATGCAGTGATCCTTTGTTTGGACAGACTCTACATGACAAATCCAGCATCTGTTGATCTGATCAGACTTGTATTGCCTTTAAAATCTTCACTACGCTGCTTTTACATTGCACGTTTGACTTCCAAGATATTTATAAATTAAAAGACTTCATGTTACATTATTAAACACAGCAGACAATAGATACATTTTCAAGCTTCTGTCACATCTAATTTCAGCCATATTTAGGGTTTTTCATCGGCTTTCATCACTGCCTTGAATAGCAAAGGCTTCTGAAATCTCAACATTATTGAATGAAGCACTTACACCTTGCTGTGCTTCAAATACGATTAAAATTTTATTGAGTTGGATGAGGTAATGTCAACAGATTCTGAAGCTTAAAAACTACAAGGAAGGTTTTCTACAAGCTCAGTTTACAGCACGAGGATTAGACAGTACGTGTTTTTAGGTTGAGCAAGGGAATTCATCAACATTCAAACTTTGCACATGGGCCAGGAATCAAACCAGAGACCTTCTTGCTGTGCGCATGGGTCCGAACACCTCCAGAACATAATTCACACAAAGACATATTATAGTTAAATCATATGTCATATATCAATCTTCTTTGCACAATATATTCACTGCTTGTGCAATGGCTTCTGTGTTCTGATGACTGCATTGGCTGCTGGAGTATTTTTACTGTTATTTAAAAGTCCTACATTACACAAAATGGATTCTTCCTTTAAGCCATGTTAGAATGTTGTTACCTCATTCAGTCACACATTTCTGAGTAACTCTAATATTATTAGTCTGTCTACATCTCCAAAGCTCAAAATGCTCTGTTCCACCTTGTTCTGCTATTGAGCGGTAGTGGCTCAAGTTAACAGCTAGCTTTTACCTTTTCATCAGTAGAGATTGGCAATTCCAGGGCTGAAGTTATCCAAATGATTCTAGTAAAGGTGCATGGAGTTTGAAAGCACTTCCTGTATTACCACATGACATCACTAGGTGGACCAAAGAGTTTTTAGTTTGAAAGAAAAAGTCAGTATGCAGGCTTTGCATTAAATATGTGTGAATGAAACAAAACATATCTCCATGTTTTTGATGAGGAAACAACACTATAAAATAGACTGGAAAACATCATAGTACAGACCCGTTATGGTAGCCTGATTCATCAGCTGGTTTCACTTCGTGGAAACCGTTTGACCTTGCAGCATTAGGATTCGTTCGCTCAACGGTAGGTGGGTACTTTTTTCATTTAACCAATCGCTGCTATTTGGTCGTGATGCGCTGGAACACTCAGTGGCATCCAAGTAATTGCCGGCACAACAGCAAACAAAGCAGAGAGTGAACATGTCTGTCAACGATCATTGTCGTTTCTGTGAGGTGAATTTGTGAACTAAACGTGCATAATAAAAAATGCAAAGTTCGGAAGTCTGAAGGAGGATAGTGTATGCAGTCTGCTATCGCAACTTGGGTTGGTTCAGCTCTTTGCTGATTGGCCGGTGCGTGGTCTACAACTTCCGGGGTTCTTGCAAACCGTCTAGTTTATTCCGATTCCTGACCTAGTCACTGGAGAGAAATTAAATTGGGTGGAGGCACGAGGTGGCGCCAGCCTGGCTACAGTTAAGGCCCTTTTGCCATTAAATTTCCAAAAGGTAAATCCTCAACTAGAACTTGAACTTGATTATTTCTATTATTGACTAGACCCAGGAAGTCACTGTAATACAACAAAAATCTGCATTTTAACATATTGCCTGCCCCTCTGTCTTGGGTTATTGAATCTTGTGATGAAATATGAAAGCCAGCCATACAGAGTAAAATGTTTAAAATCGGAGTTGTCACAGCATCCCAAAACAACAACAGAAATAAAATGGTCATAAAGAACAAGTGAATGCACCATGGCGGAGGAGGGATGAAGACATTTTGGCAGTCCACAAACACACACACAGGCATACACAGGGAGGGCAGGATGCTTGCTCACTCTGCTCCTCTTCTGGGCTGCTCCACCCCACCTCCTTCCCCTCACCTCCCCTGCTGCGAATCGTGCTTTCATGTCGGTTTCAAAGTCCCAGGTAGTATTACCCTGGGCAACCTTGACAGGGCCCGGGGCAAAGGCAACCAGGGGGCTCCGTACCTCCCTCTCTCACCCGCAATACATACACACACATATTCAGGCACCAGCTCTGACTCATACCTTTGATTGTCTCCGTGATTGCCATTACAACTCATTATGAAGGATCGTTTTATCGACGTGGGCCCGTGTTGAGGCATCCTTTGCATTATTCAAGCGTTCAAATCATGCATATATATACCAGAGCGCCGTCGAAATGCAGGGAGCGGATACAAGGCTGAAAGATGCAGCCTATATAGGTCACTTCCTCCTCCTACCCGCTCGCAAAGTGGAACTGCAAAAGGGAGGCTTATTATAGCGGGGCTGGCTGGCTGACTGGCTGCCTGGCACATAGAAAAACAGTGGCCCTAGCAGATAAAGCAGGCTACACCTCAGAGAGTACATTGTTGCTGTTCTGAATGGAGCCCAGAGTGGCTTTTGGTGGCTGTAATTCACTGGTGTGCATGGGGGGTAGCAGCACAAAGGCACCCATATTGACAGAGGTGGAAGAATTGATCGGATCACCCGCCAAGAGAAACATGCAGCATACATTATAAAGGGAAATGGATACGCATTTACATTTAGTTTTGATCATATATGCCATCAAATATTCATCTCATGCAATCAGGGTTAAATATGTAAAGTCATGGTGCTGTGAAAGGAGGGAATAGGACAGACACAAAAGGGGCTCTGGGCAAAGTGGCTAATGCAGAGGCTAAAGTAATTACAGTTTTGTCATCTATGGCTTGATATTTGCATCTTGGACTGTTAAAATAAGAGTGTGGGGTGGTATGCTGGATATGCTGCTGGGGATGGTTGATTTTTATGTACATCTATGTAAAGTGAATATGTCACCATCACTCTATGCCAGCCTATTGTGGCAACAGTCCAAGGCGGTTTAAAGAAAGGTTAATGTTTTCATTTAATCTCCATAGGTAACTTGTCTAGTTGATGGATCAAACGTGGGCACAGAATGTTCATAACGTGTAGATTTGTAGTTCATGGCTACTACTGTGCATATGAAAAGTTATATGTAAAAACATGGGTAAACTATCCTATATATAATAATAATTATTATTATATATACATCTAGTCTTGTGAGCTTTAAGGCATGTTCTAATGCTGTAACCTGGAACTGTGTTTTGGTTCATTCACACATTTTGAGTAATCCTTTATTATTAGTCTGTCTACATTTCTACAGCTAAAAATGCCCTGTTCCACCTTGTTATGTCATGTCTTGGTAGTTTACAGTTACCTTTTACCTTTAGTTCAATAGACATGGGAAATTCTAGGGCTGAAATCATCCATAATAGAGAAAGAGTATGGAGTTTAAAAACACAGTGGAGCACACAGAGTGTTTTCTGTTTGAGAGAAGAGCTCAGTATGTGTAGTATGTATAGTATGTATAGCAGGCATGTCCAAACTATGGCCCGTGGGCCAAATGCGGCCCTCAGACAAATTTTTCTTGGCCCTCAGGCTTCCAGGTGAATTGGTCCAAATTACCTTGCATCAATTAAAAAATATTTTTTTACTGCAAGTTTTTTGAAAATCTACCTAGCTAAAGCTAATATTTAATATTTAGTGTGGTTTTAAGGATCTTCGCATGAATAAAAGGTCATTCTATCATAGTTAAACATGCACATATTTCAATTATTCTCTGTACTGACCATCAGTCTATGGCCCTCGATCGACCCTCTGCTTCATCTGTGTTTAGATATGTGGCCCTTGATGAAAAAAATTTGGACACCCCTGATGTATAGTATAAATTTTGAGCCACATAGTTCAGAGTTCATAGTTCAACACTTTAAAAAACATCAAGCAAAAAAGTATAAATCAAAATACCAAAAATACAAAAAATAAAATGAATAAATAAAAACATTATTAAATAAAATATATACATTTGCATTCAATTTATTTGTGTAATTGTGTAAAATATTGCCTCTTTGGAAACATTTTGTTTTTGTTCCACGTTCACTCACACGACTGTAAATGTAAAATAAGACCATAACTCACAAAACTGCCAAATTAGTTTGTTTTTAACTGCGTGAACCTCAGAGATCTGAGCTAAAAGTTTGGCTAGTAATCTACAGCTAACTCAATGAAAAGTCCACTCAAAATTTCGTATTTAGACAGATTTCCATCAAATACATACAAAACACAATTGAAAAGGAAAGAACATTATAACATAGATCAGAAAATACTCAACTAATCAACTACTACTGTTAAAAAGAGCGATGGGGAGGCACATTTTGTATTTCACATCTTGTATTTCTATCTTTGTATTTCTTCAAGGGTACAGTTTTCATATGGGTCATTTTTATGTATGTACATGTAAAGAAAACATACAGTAGTGATATGAAAAGTGCATTTATCAGAAGCTCTGTATATCAGCCTACAGCGGTGTGTCCAGGGTGGTCTTAAAGTTGCTGATACCCAAACAGAAAGGTTAACATTTTCTCCATTTGTCTCCAGAGAGAGAAACGTGTCTTGAAGCGAGGGCCAGCTGCATCTATGGAAATGAAAGAGGAATAACATAAATAATATTTGGCTTACACAAAAAGGGCAATAGGGGCTGGTTGTCCCTGTATACTAAAGAACAAAGTGACATTACCTGACAGACAGGACGAAATCAAATTATTAAAGGCAACATACAGAAACAGTAAGTGCTCCATTGTGTTTTTATGTTCATATGTTCACATGTATGTTGGTTTAAAATTATTTGTATGTATGTATATATGCAATAAATTTTATGAAAAAAAAAAGTGTCCATACAGTTACAATCATGTGAATAAGTTCAACCGTGGACTTGCCAATCTCTGTTTAACAAAAGTAAAAGGTAGCTGTTAACCTGAAAACTACTGCTTCAGGAAATGTAGACAGACTAATAAAGGATTTGTCAAATATGTGTGCATGAAACAAAACAAAACTCTGTATATGTTTTTGAGGAAGCAACAGTGTTCTAACTTGGCTAAATCAATTTTGCCAAACCCTTAGAGTAGGTAAAAATAATGATACAAACTCAGATTATGTATTGCATATAGTGATTTGTGGCAGCTATACACCTGAAATTGCATCATGCTTTATGTATTGTAATGAATTGCATCACGGAGTAATCTTTTGTATAGTGACCCATAGCAGAGGTGGGACAAAGTTGTTGTTTTACAAATCTCAAGTAAGTCTCAAGTCTTTGACTTCAAGTCCGAGTCAAGTCCCAAGTCACAGACATGCAAGTCCAAGTTGAGTCTCGAGTCACTGGCCCATAAGTCCAAGTGAAATCCAAGTCCCTTGCTTTGAGCTTCAAGTCATTTCAAGTCTTTAAACCAAAATCCCAAATACAGTTTAGATTTTTGTAATTTATATATATTAAGATAAATTGTAAACATAGTATATTTATATATGAGTATTTATAGAGTATATACAGTTGTAGAAATGCAAATTTTGTAGAAATGCAAATTTTTTACTTTTACTTTTTAAAGGTCTTGACAAGATAGTGTTACCGGTCAGAATAGAGAGAATTCAGCTTTAAAAATGCTTCTCGAGTCCTCTCAAGTCACAGGCCTCAAGTCGAAGTCGAGTCCCAAGTCTTAGTTCATTTTATCAAGTCAAGTCACAAGTCCTAAAAATAGTGACTCAAGTCTGAATTGAGTCCAAGTCACAACTTGCATGTCCCCACCTCTGTCACATAACCCAATAATGCAAAAAAATATGTATGCTATCAAAAAACATTACAACAGGTTTAAAAACTTTCAGAAACACTGAAAATGATGTAAATATGATGTGAATGTAAGAACCACAATGAACTGTGCATCCCACCTCAGGCTCTGTCAGTATTCCCTGTCTCGGTGCACTAAAAGATGCATTGTCTAAGTTTTCGTTGTTAAGTTGGAGGTCTGTCGTCTTCTTGTTTCTATTAATGTCATTGCTGTTGCTTAGAATGTTCCACAATATGACATTAAACAGATCTACTTTTTATTTATTCAATTACAGGTGGCTTTATAGCTCAAAAATACCTAGAAAAACAGGCATTCTGACTGTGAGCTGTGTCTGACCTGTAACTTGGTCTGGTTTGGTCTCCATGTAGATAGAAAGGTTTAAGATTGTACTGCGGAACATTCTGAACAAACCAGTAACATGTATGAAGAAAAGCATTTGATGGACACTCCACCAGAAAAGTTACACAATGGACCTTTAAGACAACCTAAGCATATGTTTTTAAAAGCCACAGTGTTTAAGTAAATTTCAACTAAAGTTTTACCCAGCAAACATCTGACAGGGTGCAGCTTCACAGTTGGGTGTGAGCTAAACAAGAAAAACATACTTCTATTAAAGATGTTATGTGTATCTGGCTTATAAACCCTACACAAGGTGAAGGAAGTGAGCCTTTTCGGCAAAATATATAAAGTTTGAAAATAAATTCCAGTGTAATGATTCTTCCTTACACTACATAACAGCATTCTCCCAGACACATCTCCCTTACAGCAGCTAATTGATTTATGTGTGGCATTTACAGAGGAGGTTATCTGCTTGTGGCTGGAGTGACATTTGGCCTTGGGAGAAGTAACCTTACAAACCTGCATATACTGTAGAGCTATACATTTAATCTGCACTGTTAACTTGTCTAAAGTTGCCGGATCAAGTGTGGGCACAGAATGGCCTCAAGGTGCTCATGACCTGTAGACCTTTAGTTCATGGATATACTCTTGTGTATATGAAAAGTTAACATGCAAAAACTTTTATTATTAATCAACTACTACTTTATGAGCACATCAGCTGGACATGTTTAGTGTTAAGGTATATTCTCTTTTACACAAAGAATCAACTTGTTTTCTGAATGTTAAAGATGCATTGTGGAACTTTTCTGGTGGAGGGTCAGTCAAATGCTTTTAGATATTATTGCTTTGTTGGGAATGTTTCACAGTATGGCATTAAATCTTTCAATCTTCATGCAGACCAGACCAAACTAGACCAAGTTACAGGTCAAACGTGTAGAGAGGTGACCCCCGCTTACAGTCAGAATGTCTGTTTTTCAAAGTATTTTTGAGCTATAAAACCACCTGCAATTGGATAAATATAAGGTAGAGCTGTTTGCGGACATACTGTGGAACATTCTAGGCCAGGGGTCTCCAACTTTTTCCTCCTGTGAGCTACTTTTTGTAAAATGAAAGTGACAGAGAGCTACTAATTTTCGCTTGAAATTTAGTAAGAGCCATGGCAAGCTGTAGATGAGGTACAGTTTGATGTCTATAAAACATAATTGATTATCCAGTTATCCCTGCACAAAATTCAATAACATAACATTCAAAACAATACATTTGCAATGAAAATAAGCATTTAATCAGTCAAATTTGAGTTATTCAGCAGAATACCTATAATTCAGATATCACTTTGCGAGCTACTTGGAGAGCTACTAGCAATTCCCGAGCTACAGGTTGGAGATCCCTGTTCTAGACAAAGCAGAGAAAAAAACGTACACACTGCACCTTAGTTCAAAGGAGCAGATGATACAAATGGTCAGAAAATATAGAATGAATGAATAATGCACAACATTGTAAAGCAACTCAAAGAGGGTTACGGGTTCTAAAAAAACTACTAATGTATTATTATTAAAGAAACCAGTTAGAACAATAGCACCATTTGGTCATGATGAAACAAACATCTTCAAAAATCTTACAGCTGAATTCAGTGTCTTCAAGTCTTTCATCCAGTGCAACAACTACTGTGCAACCTTGAGTGACTTGGAGCCCACTCAAATCCAGTAGGAACATGAAAATGATAGCAGAAAGGCACGCCCAGACTCCTGGGAATCTAACTCACAACCCTCCTAACCACAATGACATGGTGACTGAAACAGCTAATGTTCAGTTGATTCATTCTAATCTTTATTTATTTATATTTATTTATCAATTTTACTGCTGGACAATATTGTTTAATTGAGATGTGGCTAAGCTAAATTTGATGCTGTTTTTAAGCGTTTTGGTGTTCTATAGTTATAGTTATATAGTTAAAAATCATCTTCATAATTTCCTTTTTGGATATTTTATGTGAAAATGCAATTAATAGTTTATCGTTACATAAAAATGCTTCTTGCCCTCCATTTGCAAGTTTGACGTCATCACATAAGAATCTGAAATCAAATAGAGAATATATAAATAATAACATCTGAATATATTACACATTCATTCAAGTGCGTGTTTCCGTTCCGTCCTAGTTCCAGCGAGGCGTGCAGCGGATTAGCTACGTGGCTTCATGCTTGTCCTCCTCTGACCCCTGGCTCTTTCACTGCCTGTGCTCTCTCTCTCTCGTTTCTTCTCCTCCTCTTCATCCTGCTCTCCTTTCAGCTCTCTTTCTTGTTCACTTCAGACATGTCATCTTCCCCTTTGCCTCGGACACTCTCTCATGGGAACTGCATGACCTAAATCTGTCTGGCTCTCCCCTGCCCATCTGACCACACCGATCCTCGGACATAGATGCTCTTGACACTGTGGGTCGGTGACAACACATCAGGTGAGGACAGAAGAACCATGGCGACAGGGAGAAGCACTGAACCATTGCCGCGGTATTGTACAGAAAATCCCACATACACACTAACCTGTCCACATGTATTGTTTGGCTGTCAAGCAAGCATGGAATAGCTGGCCTTGGAGATCTCTCAACAACTTTAAAAATGTGGTGTTTTTTTTCCCCCCCTACTCTGAAATACCCACCAAAAGAAAATGGCTTGAAATGGGACCCACCAATAGAAAGTGGTACAGGAGAAAAGAGGAAGTGTTGGTTTCCTGTGTGGTGGAAGAATAAACAAGGAACAGCCTTGAAGGGACAACAAAGTGGGTCCATTGTCAAAGGCAAACATCCATTTCATCTTCAATATTTCTGTGTTTATGACAGAGCCTGGGCACTGCTGTGCTGTCTGTGTTCAAAGAGAGTCCAGTGATATCTCAGGGACTTAAAGAACAAGACTCATGACACAAAGTACAGTATATTCATGCACTTTATTCACACAGCCTACATCTGTTACAACTCTTTTCTAGAATAATACGGGTCAAGATGACATTTTATGCTTCTGTCTGATATGTATTTATAATGTATGAGCCATGTGGATTATAATTTCATGATTTAGCTAAATTAAAATTAAAATTGCTATGCTGGTCTAAAGTGGACCATGCAGATGACGGCCTCACCTAGAATCCGTTCACGGTAGCAAGTTGTAGATTTTTCATTTCTTAAAAGTAAAAACAAGTAAAAAACAGTGGGCGTGTAAGGGGGGTAAGGGAGACCAGGAATTTTCAGCATTTCCAGAAGAATAAAGGTAACTCAAAAAAGCTTGAATCACTCAAAATACTGCTTCAAGTGAGTAAATGATAAGGGAAAACCATTACAACATTGCTTTAAGATCTCAAAAGTCGATTTGGCACATCATTTAAAAGACAGTAAAAATTATATTCTGTAATCCTTTTCTTGTTCCATGTCACTCTTGCAGTGTTATAATTAAATCTTTATTATTAGTTATTA